CCCGACTCGGGTGTTTCTTCATGCCATAACGACCCTGCTTGTTCCTCACTCCCCAGTGTTTCCTGATCTGGTCTCCTCATGGGCTGGGGAGATGCCTGGTGGGTCAAAGCACTGCTGCACAAGCCGCACCACCTGAGTTCCAGCCCTGGAGCCCACGGAAGAGCCAGATGCAATAGTGCACGCATCTGCAATCCCAGCATGCCTCTCTTGGGAGACGGGAGGCAAGGGAGAACTGCTGGTTCACAGGTCAGCTGGCCTGGTCTATGAGCGGTGAGCAAGAGGGCCCTCCTCACACTGGGCTGAAGGCAAGGACTGACACCCACGGCCAGTACCTGACCTTTTTTTAAAAAAAAAAATGAGTGCTTTGTTTTCTCCCATACCAGAAAGGAGCACCAGATCTCATTACAGATGGTTGTGAGCCACCGTGTGGTTGCTGGGAATTGAACTTAGGACCTCCGGAAGAGCAGCCAGCCAATGCTCTCAACCGCTGAGCCGACTCTCCAGCCCCCCATTATCTGACCTTTAAATGCACCACACCATGGTATGTGTGTGTATTCACATGCACACGTGCTCTCTCTCTCTCTCTCTCTCTCTCTCTCTCTCTCTCCCTCTCTCTCCTCCCTCCCTCTCTCCCTCTCTCTCTCTCTCTCTCTCTCTCTCTCTCTCACACACACACACACACACACAGAGAAAGACACACACACACACACACACACCTTGTCATCAAGGAGCTTACAATGTAAGGGAAGAAATAAACACTCCCAACCTCCATGACACCTCCTGTTGGCATTCCAGTCAGTTAGGCTTCAAGCTTGATAGCTTACAAGCTGACCTTGCCAGCCCCTTGTCACACTGGCAGCAAAAGAATTTTAAACTGCCAGGCTCAGTGATGAACCAATTCAATGAAGAACTCTGGGAGAGGCATTTACATAAAATGTGATGCTTGGCTAAGCTCAGACACAGGCTTCAGCTGAATACTTCATGACTGAAAACACTACTAGCTGGAGACTGATTCTTGGGTGAGTTTCGCCGAGACCTTGTAACTGTAGAAAGGCCTACCAGGAAGGGTGAGTGTCTCTATTATCTACTCTCGTGTAAAAATCACTCTTGATGTCGAACGAATTCAACCAGGGCCACTTCACGTTTTGACATCCCGGGTTCCTTGTGGCTGGCTTTGTCTAAGCCTCCCTCAGGTGAGGAAGAGGCGGTGCTGCCGAGCCCTTCTGTCCGTGGGGTCTTTCTTGTGTGTAGAGGTCAGTCCGGGGTTCTTTGTGGCAATCTTAGGAGGACAGGAGGACCCGAAAGAGCAAGGAGTAAGGCTCAAGGACTCAGCTGATAAGATCACAGAACACACCCACAGATCAAAGTGCATCACAAGGTCAGCATGGGAGGGGACCGTGTCAGGGTGAGCATGCTTCCTTCAAGTGAGGGGAATGCTGGGTGAGCAGGGACTCTTGACCTCTGGAAGTCTGCAACTCTAACACCTCACTGAGAGCTCTTTCACAGGATGCAAAGAACTCTCCTCCTTAAGGGACTGATTTCTTCAATGCTCATACAAATACTTGTGACATTTTGGCGGTGGTCTCGGGAAGTTATATTTATCATATTTAGAGGAAAAGGTGCTTCAGACTGGACCTTTAAGCTTACTGACTTCAAACAGAACTGCATGCCATTCCTTCTGTCCTAGATGGGGGACCACCAGAACCAAACTTGAGGACAAGAACACGATTGTTTCTCTAAATCTAGGACCCACAACCCTAAATAGATGCATCCAATATGTTTGTAGGGAAAAAGGGCCAGTCAAAGAAACACACCCTAAGCAGAGGCAAAAGAAACACACTTGGGCCCTGAAACCAGAGCCAAATCTGACCCTGAACCTGAGCAGAAAACCAACCAATCCCTGACGTGAGACCTAGCCAATCAGGGACTGAAAACTGACCAATCCCCACCCTGGAAATCTTCTCCCCCAGAAAACTCTGCCCCTAAGAAGCCCTATGTCTGTTTGCTGCCGGCTCCTTCCATCCTGGCAGAGGCAGCCGCTCTCCTGGATTCTCCTGTCCCAATACATCTCCTGGATGAGGTTTGGGTGAGACCTTCTTTCTCTGGAGCAGGGACGGAGCCTGGGCACAGCGGAGAGGAGTGGAGCAGGGCTGTAACACGTTTTTGGGGGAAACCTTCCCCTAGCAAAGCAGAGTTTTTATGTTTCACTTCATACTTCACTGGGCTGGCCTGAACTGTAACTTCTCCGGGGAAGCCTTCCCCTGCTGGAGCAGAGTTGTTACACTGGGGAAGCCTTTCCCTGGAGCAGGTTTGTAAGCTGCTATGCTTACTGTGACCTGTGGTATTCCTTGGCTCCCGAGTGCTAGAATCCTTTCCCATCCTAGCCGCTGTAACGCAACGCTTCCCAGTGCTTGCTAACCACACTGATAGTGTCTTTTTTTTAAAATTAATTTAATGTGTATTGGTATAAGGGTGTCAGATTCCCTAGAACTGACTTAGAGACAGTTGTGAGCTGCCATGTGGGCGCTGGGAATTGAACCAAGGTCCTTCCAGAGGGCAGCCAGTTTTCTTAACCACTGAGCCATGTCTCCAGCCCACTGGTAGTGTCTTTATGAAACACCTGTGTGCTCTGGAGATCGACTCATAGACTGGTCAAAGGACTGGTCATGGAAGCTCTGGAGGAAATCTGTGCCAGGGGAGGAGACAAAGGTTGACTTTGGTAGTCAGGTGACAGAGCCACCACCCCAGGGCTTTAAGGAAGTCCTTAAAGTGGTGGTGACACACCTTTAATTCCAGCACCGAGGAGGCAGAGATATCGGCCAGCCTGGTCTTCAGTGAGAGTCCCAGGATAGCTAAGGCTGCATAGAGAAACCCTGTCTCGAGAGAGAAAAAAACAAGAGCACTTGCTGTTCTCCAGGGGACTCAAGTTTTAGTCCCAGCACCTTCAAAATGACTCAGAACCTCCTGTAACTGAAACTCCAGGGATGATCTGGTGCCCTCTTCTGGCCCCCTCGGAGAACACACACATACATGTAAACAAAAATTAACCGGAAAAATGGGCCTTTATTTTCTGTGTGTCCTGAATGTCTGCCAGGACATGTAGAGGACAAAGGTCAGCATCAGTGGTCTTTCCTCTATGGTTGAGACCTTGTTTTTTTGAGACGTGGGACCTAAGAGCTCAACCTTTTAGCTAGGAGAGACAGAAACGAGAGAGAGAGAGAGAGAGAGAGAGAGAGAGAGAGAGAGAGAGAGAGAGAGAGAGAGAGAGAGAGAGATCGAGATCTAAGAGAGAGTTAAGAGAGAGACAGAGTCAGAGACAGAGAGATCTAAGAGAGACAGAGAGACAGAGAGAGATCTAAGAGAGACAGAGAGACATAGAGAGAGAGAGACAGAGAGAGACAGAGAAAGATCTAAGAGAGTTAAGAGAGAGACAGAGACAGAGACAGAGAGACAAAGAGAGAGAGATCTAAGAGAGAGCTAAGCGCGCTGCATGATCTCCGTGGATCTTCAAACCACAACACCAGCAAGTAGGTTTTGTGACTATTATGGAGGAGTTCTTTTTTTTTTTTTTTTTGCAAAAGGAGATTAGCTTTCCTGAGACGGTTCGACTTTTAAGAGGTTGATTTAAAACCCGTGTGTTTGGCTACAAGTCCTTAGTAACATTTAGCTTAGGGCCTTGAGGGGCTTTAATACTGATGAGATAAGGAGCAAGGAATCCCATTTTATTTATAAGCCGAACATGTGTTGCACATGTATAATTTACGAGAAACGAGCCCTCATCGGAGCATCCCCGTGTGAAAGTCTACTTGGATGGGAGGGGAAGATCTGTGGTTTTGTTTTGCTGACCTGCGCCAGATATAAAACTGTGCAGCTTTCCGAACGTACCCCAGGGCCGCGTGAACGCAGTTCCGCGAGGGTGGCCACGTGGTTTGGGAAGCCAGCGCCTCTGGCCACAGACCGCTCGCTCGGCAGGACAGGCTCAACTCCCCCTCGCGGAACATACTCCCAACCCCCCAGCCCTCGCCTGCTCAACAATGGCGGAGGCGCCTCTGGGTGTACCTGGCCTGGGGACAGTTGACCGTGCAATAAACCACTTCGCTTTTGCAAGACAGTCCCCCCCCCCCCCGGCCTCCCCCTCGCCGGTTCCTAGACCCTGGGTGCATCAGGCCTGGCCGCCTCCGCCGGGCCTGCCAACCACGCGTGCGTCTGCGGCAGCTGGCGGCGGGCCAGGCGTCCAGGCCCTGCGGGGCGCGCGCGGGGTGCGGGGTGCCGCGTGGCCCGGCCCCGCGTTAGGGTTAGGGCGCAGCATTCGGCTTCCCGGCGGCAGAGGGCGCCTGGCGCCGCGGTCCCGCGCCCCGGAGCCGCCCGCGAGGCGCGAGCAGAGGCGAGGCGGGCGGGCGGGCGGGCCGGCGAGCGGCGGCCCCTGCCACGTACCCGGCCGTGCGCGGCGGCGGCGGCGGCAGGTGGGCGCGGGGGGCTGCGGGGACCGCGCGGCTCCGAGCGGGGCTTGGGCGCGCGGGTGCGGCGGCGGGGGGCGGGAGAGGCCGGGGCGCGCTGGCGGGCGGGACGGACGGCTGGCTCAGCGCTCCCCGCCGCGCCTTCCGGGCCGGGTCGGGCCGGGAAAAGTTGGGGGCGGCTCGCTGGCCTCGGGGACCGGGCGGGAAGTGCGGCCCGGGCGGCCGAGGCCCCGCGCGGCCCGCGGAGGGGCGCGCGTTTGCAGGTGGCGGCGGGCGGCCGGGGGACCCAGGAGGCGGCGGGGACGAACTGGCCTCTGTCCCCCGCTGCGGCCCAGAGTTGGGGCCCCTCGCGGCGTCCGGGGCCCCGGTGGGGCAGGGACTGAGCGTGGTTTCCTGCGTCGCGGGCTCCAGAACCGCCCCTCCCGGCGCCTCATTCGCCTCCCACTGCGGCGTTTGTCCTGGGGAAGTTGAGCGGGCCGCGGAGTGAACGAACGGTATGTGTAGGGTGTTGTGCGGAGACTGGGATGGGACCGCATGAAGCACGCACGCACGCCCACCCTCTCATTCCCTGCTCGGTGCTGCGAAAGTCCCGGCCCCCTAGCGTTGGAGAGATTCCCGGGGCTGGGCCAGCAGCTGCCCAGAGCCCTCCCTACACAGCGCATCCAGGCATAGTGTGTGGACATGGCTTCTGATGTTCTGTCTGTCGTTGGATACTTCCCAAACAAGGTGTCAGCGGCTGCCCGTGAGTTATTAGAACAACCTTTGTGGTGCCCTTTGACGAACCAGATGGCCGCCACCCCCAAATAAACTTAGTATTCAAGACACCTTATGCCCAGTCCCGTGCAGTAGCACACAGCTGTGGGCCCAGGCCAGGGGCCTCTTGAGTCCTTGGGAGAATCTCAGTGTGTCAGCAGATCGTGACCTTGGGTGAGCCCTCTGGACCTCAATGTTGTTATCTGTGCAGCAGGAGTAAAAGGCAGGTAATTTGGAGGAGGCAGGAAGGGCTTCCGAGGGAGACTGACGTGCAGCCTTGTCTGACGTGCAGGCTCCCGTGTGGACGTACGTTTCTCCTTGCTCTCAGGAAGAAATTAGGATAGTGTGAAAGGGAAACAGAGGCTAGGAAGATTGGCCACACGGAGCAAAGAAAGTAATTATTGGCGGGAGCATTGGGAGTGCTAGTGGCTGCTCTGGGCTGCCCATTTGTCTTTGCTGTGAAACTGCTCCCAAAGCTGAGAACATACCGAACATAGAAACCCACGGGCATGAATGGTTTCTTTTTTTAGCCTTCAAGTCTGGGGTGGTCGCTCAGTTGGCTTGGTGGAGCCCTCCCTGAAGGACGTGTCCAGATCTCATTATCCTGTCAGACTGAGCCTGGAGCAACCGCAGCCCCGCCGCTGCCCTCCTCTCCAGGCTTAGAAGTGGTGGGCTGGTGTCCCATTGCGTGTGGCGTTTCTGAACCAAGCTGGTTTCTTTCAAGGGAGAGTAGTAAATAAATAGGCGTGCAGTATGCTTGGGTGCAGCCGATAAAAATAGCTTCCAGTAGCAGCGTGTGCTGTGTCTACACCATTTCATTCCCCTCGCCCGAACCTGGGGGAAGCAATTTTTTGGGCGCGGAGGGTGTTCACAGAATCACGGTAACCAGGACTAACCAGCCCATTAACGATTGAGCTATAGTGTGGGAGGGTGAGGAGGGTTTTCTTGTTCTGTCACAACTGAATGTTCTTCTCCTGTCCACTTCTACTCTCCGTTTTCAAATCCACACGCTTGGCTAGTTTCTTGGGAGTGGCAGTAGATAGTAAGTTTAAAATAGTGTCAAATGGTATCTTAAACATGTAAGGGCTCTACTAATTACACCCAGCCCTTAAGATACGCACAGTGTGTGCATGTGTGAATATGACTTTAACAGGATGCTAAATTAAAAAAAATCATGTTTTCAGTATAGTTACCATTTGGGCCCCATGCTGTTTAGACTTGGTTCACGGGTAAAGCTTTTGGTGGTGACAGGAAAGCAATTATATGTCTAGAAGGTTGCGATCTCTAAGTGACATCATACACTTGAAAATCAGCATGCTCTCTTACTCAGGATGTTGGATCATGAGCACCGGAGGACTCTGGGCCTGTGAAGTGAATCTTGGGAGTATAGTGGACGCTGGTATAAGTCCTGAGCCCTGGGCCTCACCTCTGGCCTGGAATCTGCCAGGGTAAAATCAGAGCCCAGCTGCCTTCCCTCACCTGTAGGGAAGGCTGGCCCCTCCCCTCCCCTTGCTCGGGCACTCCAGATAATGGGATTGATTAAGTCTTCCACTAGGAATTGTCCTCAGGGGAGAAAGGCTTTTTAAAGTACATTTCTTGTTCTTATGAATAATTGCTCCAGCTTCTGCCTCCCCACACCAACCCCAGCACACACAGAGAACATCCCAGGGCCTTGGGCTATGGATGGGTTCAAGAAGGAACAGAACGAAATCAGAAGCCCAGAAAGGGTTGGTGCTGTGTTGGGAGATGGAGGTGGTTTGCTTAGTTTCTGGATTTCTCTTCTCTTTTTTTGGACAAGGAAAAGATAACTGAATTCGGGGGCTTCTGAAGGCCCTGCGAGGGGTTGAGAAAGGGAAGGGGCAGGAAGGCCGTGGAGGCCCTGCCTCTGGCTGACAGTAGACGGGAAGCTCTCTCCACCCAGCCCCCCCCCCTGCTGGGGCTTTGAAGTTTTGCACTCTAGGCAGATTGTGACTTGCTTTAGTGGCAGCATCAGTGAATTTCTGTAGTCAGTCGTGTGCCGAAAAGGAAATTAAATTCCAAGAGGGTGTTTGTTGTGATGGATGCCAGGATTTTTATTAGGGTATAGTCAGTCTATAAAAGTAACCTCCTAATTCCCTGAAGATATTTATTAAAAAATAGTTTTTAAACCATGGAAATGTTTCTATTGTGAGTCTTTGAAATGTCACCCTCCTAAATTTAAACAAACGAGGCCCAAAACATCCCAGGAATTTACATTTTAACCTGTTCCTGCCCTATTCTTGCATTGATTTAGTAATGAGTTAGTTTTGTTTTTTTTTACATTTAATAGCCCAGTTTTTATACCTTAGGGCTTGCCTCTGCCCTCTGTTCTTGTGGGTTAATTCTTGCTCACTGATTGTGTAGGGGTAGTAAGGAAATAATCAGGCTGGGGACAGCCACAGAGTTGTTTGCTCTTGGAGCCAAGATGTCTTGACGAGAGCCTGACACCCATCCATCTCATAATCCACAAAGCATGTGTAATGACGACTTAACAGACTCACGTATCTTGCATGTCTGTTAAGATATGAAAGTCTGGTCATGCTGTCACAGGTGTGGTGATGGTTCAGAGACACGTGTCCAACAAGTAGTCAGCCTTGGACCACGGCCTGGGCTTACGTCGGTTCTTGAAAGGCGGGGCTGCGCTCGCTCTGCTGAGGATAGGATAGGGTCGCTTGTCTTTGTGGGTTGGGAGCTTCGTCGGTAGAAAGGGGGCAAGTCTGTACGAGGGGTGTTGAGCCCAGCAAATGGAAATTAACAGAGAAAAGAGTTCACTAATACAGTGGGCTCAAAACACAGCCCACTTGAAAAACACGGCACTGTGGCCGTGTGGTGGGGAAAGGTTCGCCGCGAATGGGGAGATGTAGGCCTCTGGGTGAGGGGGTGCGGAGGAACCTCTCCTTCTTGCTCCTCACCCCTCTCACAGCTTTGGCTCCGAGCCCGGTGATGCTGAGAGATCTGCCGTAGAGTAGCAGGCCTGCTTTCTGTTGGTGCCTCCGTGTGACCAGAAAGGCCTTCTTGGTGGCTGCTCTCTGACCTCATTGTTTCCAGAAGCTTTTCAGGACTGAAGTTGGTTTCCTTAGGCCCCACTTAGGAAGACACAGTTGGAGTCTTTTTAAAAGAAAGTGCTAGAAGGAGGCAGTCTAGCCTCAAGTGGCTTGCATGCCTGAAATTGCTGGTCACCAAGCAGGCATGCTAGGGTTAGTCCTTAGTTCTCCGTGCTTGCCTGTGAGGGATTGTTGGGAAGAGCCGTGAGGATGCATTTACTGTGGCCAGTGGCCAGTTCTGAAGAATGGAGGTTATTTTCCCCTAGAGCATCGAGTGGTTCTTAACCTTCCTAATACTGCCACCCCTTAATACAGTTCATGCCGTGATGACCCTCAGCCATAAAATTCTTTTTGTTGCTACTTCATAACCATAATTTTGCTACCGTTATGAATCCTAATGCAAATATCTGATATGCAGGACAGCTGCTATGTGACTCCCAAAGGGGTCGAGACCCGCAGGTTGAGATCTGCTGCCCTAAATGCTGTAGCCAGTGCAGCAGAGCCTGCCAAACTCAGGTGGAGCAGTTTATGAGCCTTGGGATTTAGGCGACTGGAATTCTCGAATGGAACACACTGTTCTCACGTCTTGGGTCATCTCCCTCACCTGTGCCAAAGATGGCAGGTAACTTGCTTATGGCCCTCTGTTGTCTGGATTGCATCTCTGCTTGTCCTTGTTCTGGTCACGCTGGGGATCGGTTACCCAAGTTCTGGCTCTGGGCTATGCTCTTTATGAAGTAGCTGCTTTACCTGTTGGAACTCTGCAATCTCATGTCACAATCTCTGCTGGGAGACACCTCAGCACATACTGCTTGCTGCTTTCTGTTTCTTCTGAAGGGGTGACCTTGCATCGTGGTTCTAAGGTGCCTCTTTTTGGTCCCCCTCATCTGTTGACTGCAGTAGCATCCTTGTCTGGGTGGTAGGGCCCATGCTGTAAAAGAGTGAGCCTACTGAAGATAGTAGCTGTCATGCCTACCTTGAGTATTGTGTCCAATCTTTGCCGACTTTCTTTGAGGTGTGTGTGTGTGTGTGTGTGTGTGTGTGTGTGTGTGTGTGTGTGTGTGGTGCGGTCTGTTTGCTTTAATTATTACTAAGAATCAGGAAAGATATTTATCAAATGTTTAGATCTACGGCAGTGCTGTGGCTCTGGCAGGCAGGCAGAATAAATATACATTTAGCCAGGGTTACCGCTGATTTATCTCTTCCTGTGCTTACACTGCTCTGTTGGCAGACTTGTCTGATTTGTGTACTCACGCAGTTTGGGTTTCAGGAGTGAGGGAAAGATTCCCGGGCTGCCCGCCGGAGTGGAGGAGCTCGACTGAGCAGGCTTCTCCACCCTTCCTGGCTTTCCCGCTAACACAGCGCTGGCACGTGGTGCTCCACCGGGAAGGTGGAGTTTGACCAGGCCTTTTCGTTGTTCGCTTGCCTGGGAGACGCCCAGTGGGTGACGGTGGCAGACCTCTCTCTGCTACAGGGAGGGGGATTCTCCTTTGACGTCGTGTGCTTACGTGTGAGGAGAAGCCCGGAACCCATGCATTCGGGGATGGCAGGTCGAGGGTAGGAACGACCGGTGTGTTCTCAGGAACTCCTAGCTCCCCGCCATCCACGTTGCCCTCTTCCCCAGTCAGTCCCTATTTGGCCTGTTGTCAGAGGCGCAGAATCAGGCTGGGATCTCTTCCTTTCCCCTGGAGTGCAGCAGGGAAGCACGTACCGTTGTGTGGTGTGGCTCTGCTAGTAGGAGAATCTGTGTGGGTGGTGGTGCTTAGAGTCAGGCCCGTTGCTTTCTTCTCTGATCATGCAGGTGGTGTGTGAGTATCTGCTCCGACACCCCCACCTTCCCATGTAAAGAGTGTGCAAGAAAGGGCAGCTGTGTCAACACCCAACAGCCGCCTTCCAGATACCTCCTGAGCCAAGCCCTTAGCAGCAACTA